TCTCTCTCTCTCTCTCTCTCTCTCTCTCTCTCTCTCTCTCTCTCTCTCTCTCTCTCTCTCTCCCCCCCCCCCTCCCTCTGACCCTCTCTCCTTTTTCGCGCTTTCGCCAAACTGAATAGACGCTACATAGTCGCAGCAGGCTCGCGTAATCGATCTCTACATCATTGATTACAGCATCGGACTTGCGGAAGCGGTTCGCCGCAACAACCAAGTTGCTCTACCGAATTTGTAGCAAACGTTTGAGCTAGACTTCGGAAGGCGCGCGCGCGCTAGATATTTACGAATTACGCTTTTGGCAGTCGAGGGGTAATGTCTTGGCACGTAGGCACTGTTTTTGTACAACATCCAGGGGCCTTCATCCGCGAGAGAGAGACAAAATTCCGAAAGAGGTGCTCGCCGATAAAGGAAGTCTCGATCTCAAGAGAAAGAAAAAAAAAAGACTCGGCCAAAGACTCTCTTTCGGAATCTTCCTTTCAAGATTTTCAGATTCTCAATCGCGCGGCGATCACGCGTTCGTTACGTTGCGACGCGGAAATAAGCGACTGTTGTTGAGATCACCTTAGAATTATCATTGCGCAACGTTTACTCTTTCCCGTTCCCTCTGCCAAACGCAATTATCGCGGCGTTACTTTTCATTTTCCAAGCATCGATGTATGTTGCGACGAGCCGATACGTACGCACTACGCATTAGCATACACACGTTTCATTATTGATTTGTATTTCGAGTCTGTCTGCAAGCTCGGTGCTATGTAACAAGCAAAACAATAAGAATGCCCACGGTGTTAACGGCCAGTCGCGCGACTAACAATAAGAGGCAGCAAACATAAGCGTATACCGTATTATTACATACGTCGTGAGAGACTTGGTGTGTCTACTAACCTTACACGTGTGAAGAAACCTAGAGTTAACAGGCACTGATAAATGGGTCTGCAAAATAACAAACACAAACAACCACTACAACAAAGGCAAAATAAAAATAAATAGAAAATTAAGAGAGATGCCGGTATGAACGCGCGGTAATTTGGTCCGAATCTTTCTGGCTGTCGCTAAAATATACGTCCTGATATTAACGAGTGGAAACGAACGGAAATAACTGTGTGAAGCCCGGATTTTTCTCTTTCGTTAAAAAAAAAACACAACATATGTATTACGTGTCGCGCCAGCGACGTAGTTTTTTTTTCTCTCGAGCAACTCATTTTGCGTTTGCAGTACGGTTTAACGATCAGAATTATCGAGCGGGGCTCTCGATAAGTGTTATTAAATTCTATATTAATAATGTCAGGACGCATTTAGGTCACAAGTGCTTTCCATAGCGTGCTGCAAAAGTTTCATTTCGAACTTAACGCTGCATAATTGTCCTGGTTACGTTAACCATAGAAAATTACGCTACAGAAAAAAAAAGAAGAAGAAGAGCGATATTCAGCTACGATGGAATTTGTATACTCGAGCATCGAGAGAGCATGCCGAGGAAAATGGCTTTTCGTGAAAGATACTTGAATCCCATTTCTGACTAAAGCAATGGCGTTCTCGGACATTACCGAATTAGCGTGAAAGCAATCCAACTGCATGCGAGAATTACTGGTAAACGAGTGATCCTCACGGTGACACAGTAAATACGTCAAGCGTGGTGCTTCTCGCGCTTAAGATAATATATTTCTTAAATTTACGTTCTTTTTTTTTCACCGCGCAATCCGTATCGCTAGCTCTGCGACAAATAAACGGTCCACTTGTATCTTTTTCCTGAAAGCAGCTGCAATATTTCAAGAGTCTAGCGCTACTTTAATCGGAACGATCTAACATTTAAGAAAGCACAGAAAAGCACAGTGTTCTTCTCATGCAACCATTGCGTCCTAATTTACATTCTCCAATAAATAAAGATCGTTTCACGGAACCGAGGTAACGTTCTTAGCGATCGTTTGCCTTTAAAATGAATTCGCGCGCGTACGTCCCGCTAATTTATATTTCGAGCGTATACCCATACGCGCGTACACGTCACGGGGAAAAAAAATCCCCTCGATTCCGTAATCCGCCTAGCGAAGATGCGAAATATCCGAGCCATTTGACATTGTTTCGCGGTGTAAACTTAAATTAAATTCGCTGGGACGTGACCTGAAAGAATTGGCAGAAACTGGTTTTAAATAAAAAATCTCAAAATAATTTTCAGGTCGGTCGCTTTCAGATATTTCGCCTCGCTGTGCAACATTCTACGGCAGCGGCTCTTAACCGAGATCTACGTTATCGCTCCGAGTCATCTAAAACAATAGCTCGTGTATCGAGCTCCTTGGACAAATAGGCGAACTTGGGGGACGGGGACAAAAAAATGGTCGAATTCGTGTCACTCGTAATTAAAAATCCGCTGCGCTACAACAGTAGGCACAATCTACAGTAATACGGGGCCGCGAGGATATTTACTTGGACGCTTGACGGATCCTGTGAAAAGGAGAGCCTACCAGCTTGTGCCAAGCTGGTCGGGCTGGACAGGTTTGTGGGACTGCTCGTTTGAGGACTCTGGAATACACCAGCGGTTCGAACATTTCAAAAAGAGACTCCCGTTTTCAGTGGTAAATCCTACTTGTCTACAGCTTGTCTGTACGTAGCTCGACGACTTCGCTCGCGAAGCGAGCGGTGAAAAATAACGAAAGAATACGAGGTGAACGCGAAAAAAACCAAAGACCGACGGGAAAAACGCGAACGAACAATTTCGATATCGACATCTGCCTTTTAACTCCTTTAATCGGATATTCCTTCGTTGGCCGCATCAATTGTGAAACGTTAAGTTAGTTAATCGATTTCACTTCGCTCAAATGCAGAAACAGATTATTTTTAATATCGATATCTCGATGAAAGCCGCTCTCTTTTCAAAAATAAACGCATTTCTCCCGTAAATATATTTATTACACTTGCAATTTTTTAAGCAAACTTCTCCGGTCGTCCTTCAATTGTACACTTTAGTTAGAAATACAATTTAAGCGTAACAAATATTCTCCTAAGGATTCGTTACGAAATCGACAATTTGACAAATCTAGAATATTTTATGTAAATATTAATCTTTTATCTCGTCACACAACACAGTAATCTAAGTAGAAAAAGAGATTAAAGTCTCTAACTGCGCATCTAAAGCCTAACTGATAAAGTATCGAGATTTTATCGTACAGACCGGATGGATTAAATTATCCGTTGAATAGCAATGAGTAACGCCGCTTATTTATAGAACCTATTGTCGATTGTACATTCGCGAGCAATAACCAAAACTGTATTTCGTCTTTCGTATAATACGTGCAGAATCGCTCGGAGAAACATGTCTGTTGACAAGATAATAACAGATTTATCGTAATGATGTAATATCCTTAACACGCTACAATTGTGGGTCTCGTCTTGCAGATACTTTCTCCGAGGATCGAAGATAGATGAGAGAATTAAAAAAAATATATATATATAAAAGAGAGAGATGAAACGTCGCTGTAAAAGCGATAAAGACTCGTTCAGAAACGTGCAGCCTCGCGAAAAGTGCGTGTAAGATCAAGAGGAAAAGAAAAGAGAAAATGTTATCGTAGTCGACGTACGGTAATCGATTGAACAACTTACATTGCTGAACGGCGTACTACTCGAATGATCCTCCTGGTCCAGAGGAGTGTGAAGTGGTGACGGAAAGTGGACGTTGCTCAAGTCGGGCAACGACCCCGTGTTGTTGCCTATCGGTATTTGCTGTCCCGGTGGTTGCGAGCTCGGATATATGCTGAAACAAAAAAATCTCACTGAGAATTGCAACTAACTCAATTAACTCGCAACGCGATCGAGCGAAAGTTTTATCGGATGTAATTCCACGGTGTCGAGCGCTCGGCGCGAAAGCGTTGCGCGAGTCATAAAATTGATTGTGAACTGAAAGAGAGAAACGTTTTCCCGAGCGCTTTGCCGTTTACGCTAAAGCGCCAGTGTTACGAAACGCCAGCGATATACCTTATCATTTAACAGTACGTACTTAATCCCAGGCACTCTAGGCATTTCGCACGAGGATCTCGGTCGTTCGATGAAGCCGTGGTGAGAATCTCTGTTGTCGCTTCCGCTTCCGGTCATAACGTGTTGATCTGTTAATCACAGAACACACGATTCATCAAGTTTCGTAATTAAAAACTGTCGATACGCCAACGTGAATTATCCACTTCCGGACAATATCTCGTTCGCTCGAAAGCTATGCGACTCCGCGATACTGAATATAAAACCGTCATTTTGATTCGACATCTTCCGTTACGATTGTACAGAATGCACGTATGGTTGTACATAGGTTTCTCAAACTCTAGTTATCCGATTTCTCCGGTGCAACGTGATACCGCTTACTAACGTTACTACCGTATAATATTTCACCTGCTTCGTTGTAGAGTGATCTCTGTGCGCGAGATCGCTCTGCAAACTTTCGCGATTCGCGACGCCGATCTAAGAATAATTTATATTTAAACTCTGTACCGCGCGTTATCGCTTCGGAAATTTTGCGCGCCACATCGGCACAAAGGACAAACGTTTGCTTTGAGGGGGGAGGGGGGGGCGGATCGATTCTTTGATTAAATTTTGCGGACCTAACGATCAGCGTGTAGCAAAGGCATTTAATTAGTTTCGCGAATGCAGGACAGTCGCGCGAATGGAACCGCGAGAATTCCGGGTTCATAGTTTCGAGTCGCAAAAGCCTTCAACGCGCAGATTACGCCACGTGCGCTTCAGAGACGAGCGCGCACAGGGTCTGAGAGATCAAGCTCTTTGTAAAATTCTCTAGATAACCACTTAAGAGAACGGAGCAGTGTCGCGGTATAACGAGGTAACGAGGCAATATGGTAATGATGGAATTTCCGAGCTGAGCTGATTCGTGAAATCGCGTCAAAAGTCAAAGAAGCGGCTTCGCGAAGACGGGGAGCGTTTTGCATAGGACGGACTTATTAATATGGCAGCCGGGCGACAAAAACTATTATTCACCCTTTACGCGAATACTCGATCACGCTCGAATTGTTAAACGTCGGGGCGTAAAAACGCGATTTCGCCTTCGCGCAAAATAAATCACGTGAACTGCACGACGTATAGTTTCAGCCTCAATTATTAACGGCTGATGAAATAATGTTTGCGCGTGAAACGGTGAGTTTTATGCAAGATGTTTGATTAATTGCCCTCCTCTCGACAGCGGATCGACTGCGCCGGGAGAAATACGCTTTAAAAAATATATTAATGCTCACGATAAATTTCAAACGAGCTAGAGCACGAACACGAATTGAGATTTAGAGAATGGTTCCGCTTTCATTTATATAACGGAGATATTTCAAGAGACACGAGTGGACATCGGTTCCAAGGCATTAATTCCGTAGATAAGAGTACGTGGCCGAGCGCTTTGATGAAACGTTGACGATTACGCAAAGTCCCCACGTGCTATCTCGGCGACGCATAGAGACGAAAAGCCACGCGGTCCCTCGCGCAGCATCCATCATTGGGAGAAAGCGCGCGCGCGTCGCGGGTCAGAGTCGTCCGGAGTGTACTGGTCGAAACAGGTTTACGCAATTTGTAATATAGAAATGGGAAAAAGCCGGACATGCGTCGCTATACCTCGTCGATGAGGTATGGCGGAGGTCGACTGGCAAGCCTCGTTCGCGCTCTGGTGTAAAGCGGAGTCCGAGTTCGTTCTCCGCCAGGTATCCGGCGGCGGTGGCGACAGGTAGGGCACGCCGCTGTACGGCGACGTGTCGTGCCTCTTTTCCATCGGGCGAGATCGCATGGGTCCAACCCCCATGCTGCGGCTCCGGTTGTCGCCACGGTACATGGCGTTGTGCTGCATCTCCTCCAGATTGCTGAGCGCCGTCTGCAAAGACACGCACGGGCCATGAGGATTACGACTGGCATTTGCGATTGGCGACCGCCGCCGACACAGCATGCAAACATTACAACGTGAATTGAGGGGAAACGTTTGCGAATCGTGCGGTAGCGAGCAGTGCTCTGTGCCTCTCTTACTCCGTTGCTCCACATCAATATCTAAGTCGCAACTAGCGAGCATATTTACCGTGTATCAGATGTAAAATTGCAACATCCGACGAGACGGGTTCAGATCCTTGCGCGCGAGGAAAAAAGACGATCCGATGTCCGAGCCGAAAATCAAAATGCTCCGATAATTAACCAATACCGAAAGCCATTGCGCCGACAAGATATTATAGGATTCCGGCGAATCTCGTTATTCCGAGTTGCCCGAGAGGCGTCTTTGCGAAGGCGCACTCGCGTGTTTTTCTACGTGACGGGAGGAGGAGGAGGGAGTCGAGGTCCAAGCGAAATAATTCACTTCTATCTGTGTGCCACGGTGGCGAAGCCCGGTCCCCGAACCCTCCATCCAACCACCGGCGAGCCATTCGGCCGAAGGATTTTCTCGCTCGGCGAATCCCTCGTAAAACGTCTCGTCCGCTTTACGACCCGCCGTCGTTGTTGGCGTTATGAGTGGCGATTAAAACGGCATAAAGAAATTTAATGCGGGAGTTCGGGCGACCGATAGCCATAGAAATCCCATTTAGCTGTCTCACCTGACAAAATTCATACCGCGCTTTACGAGTGAGAAAATTCAACGCGCCTACCGCGAGCCTCGACGTCTCGCGTCTTTTACGTCATCTCGCCTTTCTTTCTATCGCGGCTACTTTTCCCACGTGTTTGATTATTAAGTTCTCCAGCAAACAACAGCAACGCCCTTCTCCCTCGTTCGAGGGACGCGCAACGAGGGCCAATCCCGTGAGGCGATATCTCGCCGCTTTTTGCATCTGGAGAAAGACGTTCTGCAAATTGGACGTCGCTAACTCGATCAGATAACGCCGCGTTTTTCCTTGTCAGAAACTCCAGGCAAAGATGATTTGCAATATTCCCGACGTCCTAATCATCTCCATTAAGGGGGTCCTTCAGCCATCTTTTTTACCAACAAAGTCAAATATAGTTTTTGCGCTTGTGATTATTTTCATTAGCTTTTATGCACAAAATACTACCAGGATATGTTGCGGACCGCAGAGCAGAACGTTTTCATACTTAAAGCATTCAGTTTAGAAGTCTAATTGGCTTTATATGTAAATACATTTTATTGATTCCCCTTAGGGTTACAAGGCATTTTTGAAGGAACATGCCCAAACCTATTATAACACCTCTCTCTATTAGCCACTTCGCTATGTGGCGATCGAACGAAAACCCAACAATGTTTTGTTTGGTTTTGAACCCGGGTCTTCGGATTACCACACCAGCGCACAATCCTCTGCGCCACGATCGCCTAATTGGCTTCATAAAATTGCAACATTCTTCCACACGATTAACGTACGCATAAAGACAAAACCAGGAACAGCCATCTTTATAGCCTCGGTGGTCGAATTGGTTGAGACGCCCGCCTAGAGTGTAGGGAGGTCCAGGTTCAAACCCCGGCTGAGGTAATATTTTTCGCAAGAAATTTTCTCTATTATTAAAATTGCCAGGTCAATAAAAATCACTGATGCTGTTAATTACTGCTGGCGACTTTTAAGAATATTCTCACCAATCAAGAGAATTACAAGCGCAAAAGGAAATTCTTCGATTCCAAACTCGTCCTCGTATT